TAAGAGAGAGAAAGTGATTTTGGAAATTTTTTGAGAAAAATCTCAAACCAAACAAATTTTTGGAAATTTTTTTCTAAAACTCATTTCTCAAACTCAAACCAAACATACCCAGTATTTTTTTAGGTTTCATTGAGGTAGTTATAGTTTTGCACGTCCAAAATTCTAACGGGACAATATTGTGACAAAATTCAAAATATAACAGGTAAATTATTCAAATTAAAATTACGAAAATTAAAATCATACTTGGTTTAAACTTTAGATATTAATAGTATGGGTAAATTATACTTTTCATCTCTATACTTTACACTAAATCTCACTTTAATCCATACACTTCTGGTCAAACCTCACTTTGGTACCTACATATGAGATCATGATAGTTAATCTCCTACACTTTTATTCAAATCCCACTTTGATTTCTACATAAGTGTCAATGTCCCTCTTCTGTAATTTCATTTTTAAATCTTTAACAAATTCAGTCACGTGACAAAAATGTGATTATGGGACGAGAGTAAAAGAAGAAAATCATATTTTCCACTAATACACTTTGTCTTACGTGATAAGCACATGAGAGTTATATATATATATATATATATATGTTCATCTAGTAAAAATTGGGACAAAAATGTAAGAGAGTAAAACTTTTGAAATTAAAAAAAAAAAAATGCAACAAAGAAATTAAAGAGAAAGAAAGAAGATAGAAAACTGTGTTACCATGAAAAATAGAGTTTTCTGATTCCAATTTATGCAAAATCCTAGTTCATTTTCTTAATTGTTCACAGTTTATGCTTTATTTTAGCATAATACAGTTATATTTTGATATAAATTTTGGGATAAATGTATATTGGTGAAAAATATAGATGATTTTTTTTTCTTACTCTCATGCCGTAATCACATTCTTATAACATAATTAGATTCTGTTAAAGATTTAAATAATTGAGTAATAGAAATGAGATTTGTATAGGGACCAAAATCAGATTTGACCAAAAGTACAAAAATTGACCGTCACAATTTCAAGTGTAAAGACTAAAGTGGATTTTGACTAGAAGTGTAAAAGGTTGACTGTCATAATTTTATATATATAGACCAAAATAAAATTTAGTGCAAAGTATAACGGTGCAAAATGTAATTTACCCTAGTTTAATTTACGCACAAAAAATCTTCCCTATTTTCTTTACTTTTTTTGGGCTGGTTCAAAAAATAATGCATGTGCAACCATTAAGACCTTGCTTAATTTACTTATATTTATTTATTTTTAAAAAGTCTTGAACTTTTAAACTACGGCCTATTTGTTTTCATAAGTATAATAGAAAGAATTTATAGTGAGGGAATTGCTAATGAAAGAATTGATAATGAGGATATTAAGTAAAATTGTGTTTGTTTTGATGATAGTTGTTGGTGTATGGATTGTTAAATTATTTTTATATAAAATAATAAAAAAATACAAAAAACATTAAACATTAATGTTTAAAAATAAATAAAAATTCCCAACGTGTAAAAAATAAAAATAAATAAATAAATTTCATAAAAAAATAAAACAAATAAAACAATGATTTTTACTTAACAAAAAATACAAAAAATTAAACATTAATGTTCAAAAAAAAATGCCCAACATGTAAAAAAAAAATAAATAAATACATAAACTAGTTCGGCGAACTATTTTTGTAATACTAAATACTGGAGGTCCATCCGAATCCCTTCTCCATCTTCCAAACAAGCACAAGATAGTGAATCTCACCTCACTATCAATCCCAATCCCTCTTTATAACCCCAAACAAACGGGCCGACGTGTCTAATTATGTTGTATTTTGAGAATATATGGTAATGTTAATCTTGTGGCTACAATTCTTGTTGTTTTTTGTTTTGTTTTGTTTATTTATTTATTTATTATCAAGTTTCCATTATTTAGTTGCATGGTATCCTTTACCCTTTTATGGTTACATGAACTCAAATCACAAAAGTGCATTACATTACCATTCTCATATATATGGACTAAATGGGAAATAATGTGGGAAGATAAAAGCACAATCGTAATCCTCTTCCTTCTTTGAATGAGTGTTGTTCCACCATTTCTCACAGTTTTGACAAGCATCAAGCTTCATTGTCCTGTAATTTAATTATCAAAAAGCAAAATTCAAGGTTGGTTACTAACATAATTCATGCAGTTCAAGCAGACAAAAGCATTATTGATTATTTGAATCAACATTAATAGTATGTTACATTACCCACAGAGGCATGGTGGCCAATATTTTTAGAATAAAGTTATACAAATAAAAAAATTGTACAAAAAAAATTAATATGGAATAACCTGATAAGTGTTAATATTATTACTTTACAGCAAAAAGTTTACTAAAATGGATTAAATGTTTAAAAAATGTTACTGTCTTATATTTCTAAATTCTAATTAATAGTCATATATTACATTCTATACAAAAACCTATAAGAATATAATTTTCCATATTAAGAAAATTGGATTGTTTTCAATTGATATTTTTTGACTGGAAAAGAATAAGCTCATTTGAAATCTCACACTAGAAAACATGCCATGCTTGCTCACTGTTATCATCCAATTATCTATGCATTGTCCTGTTAACAAGGACAAACCATGGAGTATCAAAACAAATGTCAAGAGGATGACTACACTATCTTATAAACAATTATAAATACTGAACAATCATTGTCCTATTAACAAGGACAAACCATGGAGTATCAAAACAAATGTTAAGAGGATGACTACACTATTTTATAAACAATTATAAATGCCGAACAATCATTGTTTGGAGGTTAATTTTGTTTATAAAAAACTAATGAAACTTGAAAGAGCAAAGAAACTATTAGCACATACCTAATTTCTTTGGACCCCCAACTTCTTTGAACCCATACCCACACTACTACAAAATCATAAATAGATCACGGATTTGAAGTGTGATGTATGTTTTTTAATCACGGATTTTTTATTTAGTCAATGTGTGATCTTTGAGAGTGTGATTGTTAAGGTTTATTTTCGGTCACACTTTTTGACCGTCATTAAAAGATAATTCCATCACGAGTTTTGACCGTAATAATAAATATTTAGATCACATATTTTTAGTGTGATTAATAACCAATAAAATCTAAGATTGAACTTAAATAATCCGTGATTAATAATAAGATAAGATCACGGTTATATGCATTTCTCATCATGGTTAATGCATGTGATATAAAAAGTCCAACCACAAAATGTGACTATCAATCACGGTATATAAACCGTGATTAAAATTTGAACATAACTAATATCTAAAATATAATCAATATTATTTGCATACAAAATTCCTTTGAATCACAACATTGACCACATATGAATAGCTAACAATCTCATATATTTCGTCAATGAAAGTCGAATGTTGGAAAAATATATACAATGAAAGTTAAAGAATAAAAAGGTTTTTTACTTTAACTACACAATAAAAATCTAATTAAAAAAATGAAAAAAAAAAAAAACACTCAAAGAAAACTCAAAGTTCTCGAATGTTCCGTTTTCTTTGATCATATTTCACATCTCTCCAAGCAATTTTCGACCTGACTAAAAATAACACAAATTAGTTCAGAAGCCGCTAGAAGCATATGAATAAACTTACACATTTTTTTGTTCTTTAAAAACAAAAATAAGAAATTAATAGATATTCCACTTGCAATTATCAAGCCAAGACTCGAGAGGTCCAGCCCAAATTTTTTCATTTCAACCACAACAAGAAAGAGAATGGTGTTGATAAAATCAATTGTTCAATTGTCCAAACACCTAAAAATCCAAGCACAGCTTCTATTAACTATGTTCTGATTTAATATCATTTTCCCTAGTGTGTACTCAGTGCATGACCTGGTGACTAATTTGCACAGATCAAGTGTCTGGTTTTATGAGTTAGAGCAGTCCACAAAGCACCAAAGCAATAACCAATGAGTGTGTGTTTAATGGAGTTCAACCCCAGTTTGATGTCCTGTGTGAGTTGATCAAAGTGAAGGTTGCTTTGTAAACTAAGACCTCGTTTGGCAAGTGACTTTTTTAATCAAAAAGTCAAAAAGTCACTAAAAAAAATCAAAAAGCCAACAACCCATACCAAAAAGTCAAAGATTCCATTTTCTCTCTACTTTTTGTACATATTTTCGTAAAAAGCCAAAAAATCATCCAAAACATACTAATTTTTTTACATCACATTTTAGCCCAAAAGCCAAAAAATTACTAAAAAAGCCTAATATCATTTTTCTTAGTGTGTGTACAATGGTGGTTGAGTACAAGCAGGCAACAAAGAAAAAACAGAGCAAGTCCAACTCCATCTACAGCTGAAGGACTCTAACTATTGCTAAATGGCGCAATAATATATTGGTCATGAAATTACCTTTATATGATACTAAATTCTGGAGTATTAAAAATAAAAAGGATTCCCAAAAATGGAATCAATTCCTATTACTCTAGGTCCTAAATGTTAGCAAAGTCCATATCAAGTACAATAAAATGCATGTGCATATATTTACGAACAAGATAGATAAGAGTACTACCAGGTTTAGATGATGAACATGTGACTATACTTTCAGTTCAGTAAGGAATTCCTTTGAAGCTTGCATATCCATCTTCTTGATAGCAGCTTTCTGAACCCAAGGGAGCAATTGAGAAAGATAATATAGATACTTAACATTAGAAATCAACATAGCACTCTCAGGTATCAATCAATAATGGTCCATGACAAAATTTAAAAACACACATAGTCTTTAGTCAAATGAAAATGACAAAGGAAAGAACAATTGCACCTATGCAGCTGAAATTTGTCATTATTGGAAAAAAATATATATATA